TTTCTTATTGTGTGATGATAAGATTTACCATCAAAACAGCTGGCGCTTTTGAAGAGAACCTTTTAATGAAGCACTACAAATAACAAAACTTAACAATTGTTGATGAATGAAGTAATGAAATATTGTACGAATCTGGAGAAGTATTGCACTATTTTCAAGAATTGCTCAAAAAGACTGCTCTCAGCAGCTGTACAGTAAGTAAGCCGATCTTCAAAACTCCTACGCGTGTCGATCAGTATTTGAGTTGCAATCTGAAGACAATATTGCTGGACTGCTTGTTTCAGCGTTCTCTGTTTGTATAGCAGGTATTGTTTGAATACAGATGGTCGTGAAGAAATCTCCAAAGAAAAAATTTAGATCCGGCGAATTCTAACATTGCGGGAAAATACTGGTTCAAATAGACAACATTTACGAGAGCTCTATGGCTGGAGATTTGGTCCTGGATGTAAAAGACCTGCTGCAGATGCCGCACCCTTCGAGTCTCAGGAAGTATTTGTTGAGCTAGCATATTGTCCTACTTCTGAGCATTCATTCCGGATTCGATGAAAAAAAGTGCAATGACATGATGTCCTAGAAGCCCCAGTCATACACTGACAGTTGTACGTCATTGATAACGATACTCATGGACCACGTGAGAGTTGTGTAATGCTTAAATTTGATCGTTCTGACGATTATAACTTCCCTTAAGACCTAATGAATATTCGTCAGTAAAACAAATGTTCCTGAAAAACTCTCCATCAGCCTAGATTCTCTCAAGCGTTTCTTCGTAAAACTCCATACGTGAGAAGTAGTCCTCAGGCTTCAATTTTTTGTCATGATGCTTTTTGAAACTCTTCTATCCCATCTCTTTAAGATCCCTAGAAAACGTTGTGCCCACCTGATTTTATTTACTTTTTATCACCTTTCAAAATAAATGTAACTTTGTTTTGTGAAATATTATTTTTATTTTTGTTGTTGTTAACAAAATAAACAAATAAAACAGTAATACAAAAGTTTCTGAATCCCAAAACACATTCGTAATAGAGAAAAATACTTTAAAATGTTGATGAATCAATGTTCTACATTTCTCTCTCAAAAATTTCTTGTAACGAACATGCTTCCAGGTGGCAAAATTCCATCCCTGCTTAACGAATGTAAAATCAATTGACTTCCAATCTTTAGTGATTCGAAAAAAAAGTGTGAAACTTACCCAAATTACCTACTAATTAAATTAACCGTTGAAGAACAAGCAGACCCTCGCTTTTTCATCTAATCGCAGTAGAACATAGCATAACCTAATAAAATATTTTGTTCAGTTTGTGCATTTATTCCGTTTAAATTGACTTACAATAATCATCACACTGGATAAAATAATTCAGCTTGAGTTCGTTGATTTCTGAGAATAATTTCTAATTTCAGTTTGACATTTGGATTTTGCACGATTAATTCAAACACGCGATCGCCGAACTTCGACAGTGCGACGGAACATTTCGCGACAAATCGGATCGGGCGCGAATTTCAAAATACGATTTTTAAAACCTTTTTACAGTGAATGAGCGCGATGCAACGATTTGAAAAAAATACTGGCCGATAGCCCTCTTCGACCTCCACAAAGGTATCACTCAATAATAGCTTTAAAGTGATCTGGGGAGATATTATAAAATAAAAACCAATTCCCATGTTAATTCCCTATATCCAGACTTGGATGCGGCACCCTGTATTAGTATCAACCTTAATTCTTCTAACCTGTTGATAGGTGTTCGATAAATACTGTTCTAAGAGTAATCACAGGAATGAAGACGGGATGGGTGGGCGGGGCTATTGCTTGTTTATGAAAGACTCTGTAGTAAAAAGTTAAACTTAGCCCCGCCCACCCACCCTGCCCCCATTTCAATGCTTCATTTTATTTAGTTCCAATGAAAGCTGGAACTCATACTGAACAGATATAAAATCGTTAGAATGAGAACAGAGCGGGTGGGCGGGGCTAGTCTTCGCTAAGACTGATTGTAGCAGATGACATACCTTCTAAGAAAATAGAGGGCGGGTGGGCGGGGCTACTACTTGACAAGATAAGACTGATTTTGGAAAATGACATATCCTCTAAGGAAATAAAGGGCGGGTGGGCGGAGCTGGTATTTGTTAAAACAAGATTGATTTTGGTAAATGACTGTTTGAATAATCACAGGAATGAAGAACGGATGGGTGGGCGGGGCTATTGCTTGTTTATAAAAGATTCTGTAGGAAAAAGTTAAACTTAGCCCCGCCCACCCACCCTGCCGCCATTTCAATGTTTCATTTTATTTAGTTCGAATGAAAGCTGGAACTCATACTGAACAGATATAAAATCGTTAGAATGAGAACAGAGCGGGTGGGCGGGGCTAGTCTTCGCTAAGACTGATTGTAGCAGATAACATACCTTCTAAGAAAATAGAGGGCGGGTGGGCGGGGCTACTACTTGATAATATAAAACTGATTTTGGTAAATGACATTATCCTATAAGAAAATAAAGGGCGGTTGGGCGAAACTGGTACTTGTTAAAACAAGATTGATTTTGGTAAACGACTGTAAGAGTAATCACAGGAATGAAGAAGGGTGGTGGGCGGGGCTATTGCTTGTTTATAAAAGAGTCTGTAGGAAAAAGTTAAACTTAGCCCCGCCCTCCCACCCTGCTGCCATTTCAATGATCCATTTTATTCAGTCCGAATGAAAGGTGGAACTCATACTGAACAGATATAAAATCGTTAGAATGAGAACACAGCGGGTGGGCGGGGCTAGTACTTGCTAAGATAAGACTGATTGTGCCAAATGACATACCCTGTAAGAAAGTAGAGGGCGGGTGGGTGAGGCTACTACTTCATAAGATAAGACTGATTTTGGTAAATAACATATCTTCTAAGGAAATAAAGGGCGGGTGGGCGGAGCTGGTATTTGTCAAAACAAAATTGATTTTGGTAAATGACTGTAAGAGTAATCACAGGAATGAAGACGGGATGCATGGGCGGGGCTATTGCTTGTTTATAAAAGACTCTGTAGGAAAAAGTTAAACTTGGCCCCGCCCACCCACCCTGCCGCCATTTCAATGATTCATTTTATTTAGTTCGAATGAAAGCTGGAACTCATACTGAACAGATATAAAATCGTTAGAATGAGAACAGAGCGGGTGGGCGGGGCTAGTCTTCGCTAAGACTGATTGTAGCAGATGACATACCTTCTAAGAAAATAGAGGGCGGATGGGCGGGGCTTCTACTTGACAAGACAAGACTGACTTTGGAAAATGACATATCCTCTAAGGAAATAAAGGGCAACAAGATTGATTTTGGTAAATGACTGTATGAATAATCACAGGAATGAAGAGCGGATGGGTGGGTGGGGCTATTGCTTGTTTATAAAAGACTATAGGAAAAAGTTAAACTTATTACTCTTACCTAAATATATAGATAATCTATAATTTTTTGTATTTCGACTAATAATCCAGTTATCAAAAAAATCCCGGGACATTGCTGTTGTAGTTCTAGCCGATTGCGCTGTATCCCCGTCTTGTTCTTCATTTTATCGTCGTTGTGGTATAAAATCTGTAAAAATTTCTTGCTGATACTAGGCAGCGCTTAGGTGACCTTGAAGAGGATCACATGATTATTATTGTCATGATTGCTTTCACCCCATTATCCGTCGTTGACTAATTTCAGCCCAATCACTTCTTAGTTCTGAGTTTTGCATGTTTGGGTGCCTATTTCAAATATTAGGTTTACAAAATTATCGTTAGTTAAAATTAATTTTGTTACAATAAACTTTTCTATGACAAGCCTTAAATATATCATTTCAGAGAAGACGTACGGATTCAGTTACAAGGATAACTTGATTATTAATTATGTTGAGCAACATACATGTTTTCTCGACGTTTCGTGACCCCCTGAGTACGAAAAAGTGACTTCCCGTTTCTGTCTGTCTGTCTGTCTGGCTCGCGTCTGTATCGATTTTTATTTAACACGTAATCTCTAAAGAGACTTCTAAGATCAAAAACATTTAAAATCACCCAAAGAATAACGTCCTAAATTGTTGCAATTGTTTGCGGGAGATTTGAAAATTGGGAAAATATGGGGAAATATATTTGAAATACATGGGTATTCTCACTTTTTCTAGAAAATGAGGTACTTAATTTGATCAACAAAAAATTGGTCGAAGGCTATAAGTATAATCTGACAAATCCAGTTCTTTAAAAAAAGTATGAAATTTGATTTTAGGATTTTCGTTTTCTGATAAAGTAAAAACCAGCGGCGTAAGTAACACCACCGCAGCCCCTGCGCTGTACGGACAATGTAAAATATATTTAAAGCACATAACTAACGGTATAAAATCTCCTTCAGCACTAGCTAATAGCAATCTGACGCTTAAGCGTTTATTTATGTTTATACATCGACAGAATGTCACGTAGAAATTAGTTTGATTTAAATGAATTCCTCAAAACAGAGGACTAAAATTATTAACTAAACCACGATCGAACAAAACATAAAAGTGGCCATTTATCCGATGGACTCGATTACTATACTTCCCTAGCTTACGCTCCAATTCAACATCGTTTTGCTAAACGAAAGTCTACAATCACTAATTCGTTTTTAAAAACTCAATTTATTATAGATTGTTTGGGTGTTCGTAATCGGGTTAATTGTAAGACACTCACTTTTCTAAGGAGTTTGATCGCATCAATCAGAAACTCTTATTGCACAAGTTACAAATGTTCGCCTTAATTAACCTTTTTACATCGTACCTGAATAAAAGATATATTTCCTCGGGCGCACCAGAGTTCTGTGTTGGGCCCCCTGCTCGTTAATATTTATATAAATGATGTCGTTGAACAACTTGATGTAAGATAGTTTATGGAATTGCTCAGTTGTCATTGTGATCAATTATATTTACTAATGAACTAAATCTCTTCTTAAAAAAAAATATCTTACCGTAAATGGGCGATAAGCCCATGGAAAGGCCTTATCGATAATAATAATCATAACAATAATAATTTGCAGATTTACTCAAACTTCACCAATACAGTGACAGTCTACGTGGGGACAAAGCACGGTGACAAAAAATTTTTCCTTATCGATAAGTACGACGGCTCTTCAGATATTCCCAACTACGGGAACACTTGTGCGGATAGAGTCTCAGGGTCGTCCGAGGGCGTTGCTTACCCGCAGTTCATCACGAAGAACACGACCATTAAATATTGGAGAAAAACTTTCTGCAAGATGGCTGTTCTCCGATTTAAGAGTAAGTACCAACCTGACGAAAAAAATGACTCAGTAAAAACTTCCAGGAAACGAATTCAAATACGGCCTGAATGCGTTTCGGTTTGATCTCATCGACTCCATCTTTAACCGAACCAAACCGAGGAAGGCCGACTGCTACCAAGGAACGCCGGCGCTCATCGACGGGCTATCGGACATTTCCAAATGTCACTATGGGTTTCCCTTAGCTACAAGTTTTCCTCATTTTCTGTACGGAAGCGAGTCCATACACTCTTTGGTGACTGGTATGAAGCCGAACCACACCTTACACGAGTCCTATTTAATCGTTGAACCTGTGAGTATATATGATTGTGTGAGTTCTGTTATTTAACTCTGGCGGTTTTAGACTACGGGAGTGCCACTGGAGTCCAACGCACGCTCTCAGAGTAATCTAGTCGTGAAAAAATTAACCGGATTCAACGAGCTTGTGACGCCTTTCAGCGACACCGTCATTCCAATGTTTTGGATTGAATATGTGAGTCACCTGACTGGTTGACGTCAGTGTTTTTTGTAATGAATGATTGCAGAAACAAATGGGGCTACCTTGGTACATAGTCAGCTTGGTCTACTTCCAAGTCAACGTCCTCCCAATTTTCCAGACGATTCTCACGTCGTCTCTACTAGTCGGAAGTGCGATCTTCATTTACCTTTATATTAAACACAAGAGAAAGCAGCAGCTGCTCGATAATAAGACTCTAGTGTTTGAGAAAGAACTGTTCATCAGTAAACCGTAGTTTAGGTGACATTGCATCAACAATCCGTAGTTTAACGATGATCACGCAGTATTCTAGTATTGCTCAATTATTTTATAAGAAGTGTCATTTTCTAACGGGAAATTTTTCACATTGTTCATTGTAGTTGTTGTAGGTTTAAATTTAATTATAGACCAAAGTTTCTCATTAAATGTGATACTTTTTGTTAGGCGAGGTTGGCAGCAACGGAGCGGTTGGTGCGCCTGCAGCGATAGTCCATTTCTAGTTTAATTTTGTACAATAAAATATGACATGTATTTATATCGAATGGAGTGTTTTATTTTTCAGAGTTGAAAAAGCCACACAAACGAACTTAACCCTACTTTAAAACTATGTCTCTGTTTCTTAAATATTTCTAAACTTTCAAAAGTGTGTAGAAACGTATAATAGTTTTATCGATCGACTTTTAATAATCAAGTAGATGTAGTTAAATTATAACGAAAGCAAAAAAGGGTCAAAACAATTAAGAAAACTGATGACAATAATGAAATCATGAGCTCAAGTCAAATAAGATCAAGTCAAATCATTTATCAGGTCATTTCAGGTTAGAACAGATCAGGGAAGGTCAAACTCCAACAAGTCGATTCGGGGCATATCAGTTCAGGTCGGGTTAAGTCACATTATCTCAAGTCAAATCAGACTTTACCATGTCAACTAGATCACTAGAATTGGACCGTTCTGTGTTTTTAGTCATAAAATTAATGTAATTAATCTTTTTGTTTCCTCTGTATAAAATAACCATAATTCATCAGCTGTGATATTTAGATAAGTATAGAAATTTCCTATAGCGGTATATTGTTTTCCGCTTTGACAAACATCTTTCAAATTTTTTGCATCTATTTCTTTTAGACACAAAAAAAGGAAAATACGCAGTATGGGGTACAAATTCACCTAATTGAGTAGTCGTTACGCCAACATTGTTATCCATGAGTCTACACTAAAAGCAAATATTCAAGCCCTTAATGGAAGGTTGTCACAGAATAGAATCTTCCAGTTCTTCAAGTTCCAATTCAAGCCGTGATAGAGAAATTTAAGGAATTTTATTTACCCTATTGCAATATTTAATAAACACTTGATAGTTTGTTGGCATAAAAAGTCGAGTTTTAATGAAGATGCAACGAAATTCCGGGGGAGAGACGGTGACGGTCCGGAATTTCTCCGATAACGCGTGGGGGCGGCGTAACTCGGTGCCGAGCCTCGGGCCCAGTAGTGCCGCTGAAATAGAAACACGTGTGGCCGGCCTTGGCTTATGCTGACACCTTTACGCTACCGGGGGGTGGCGCCGTCCGTCGGGAGCGGCAGTGCTCGGGCGCCAGCTAAGACTTTCCTATCGTATCAACATGAAAAACGGTCTTATAAATTTTATTGTTGTTTTTTGACAGTAACATCTGTTGTTTTCTCTTTAAACTCTAAATCAATAAGCCAATAAGGAATGAACTCTATTTATTAGCGAATAACTTCGTTATTTTTTTTAATGTAAACAGGTCGCAATGCCTTGAAATTTATCACAGCTAAGGCGAATTTTAACTGTTGTGCTGAAGAGGCCCATGAGCCGAGGGCTTTTTTTAATATACTTTAAAAACAGGTTAAAACCTTAAATTAACACATGTAAAAAAATTGAAAGACCCGGGAATATTTCAAAAAATTCAAAAATTTGGCCTTGGCTCTGATCGTCTAACAAAATGGAACCCTACATTGTGTTGTTTTTTTTTGTGGCGGAATGCGTTCAGATGCAAGTGGTAGACCCCAAGGTTGGAAAAGTACCGCTAAATAAAACACAAAATATATAGGGGACAAAATTATTTATTCCTCCACTGACAAAAAAAAGAAAAAAAAAGCTGCGACAAAGTTGTGCCGGTTGAAGACTTGCCTAACTTTGGATGAAATCAAATTAAACGTTCTGAATCAATGTAAATATTTGAAAATCACAAATTTAATAAAAACAAAGAAAAATGTGCATTAAAGTAACTGTATGCAAATACACAAGTTATTAAGTACGTGTGGAAGCAAATTTCAATTATGGCAGGAGAACAAAGTTTTAATAAAACTCTATGCAGTGGGGCGCACAGCGACAGCGACACCAGAGCGCTATAAGAGTGTGGCGACAGAACTACATCAATTTCGTTCTAGAGCACGAGTGGAGTTTGGGGCTCCTGGTTGTGGCTGTTCTCCTACCCACGACAGTGATTCTATTCTATCGGCAAACACTGCCGCACAGCATACGAGCAGGCTCTTACGGTTGGATCAGGTCAGGTTGGGTCCCGGCTATTGGGACAAGCCGATAGCTTCACGTCAACCCGACCGCCCCTGACTTCTATTCAAGAAGATTCTTTTGTGCAGCTCGACTAAGAACCGCTTCTGCCACGTGTTTGTGTTATTTATCTCAATTCCATTTAAATGTTCACTTTCTATATATAACTCTGATATTAAACTACAATCGCACAAGTGTTAAAGTTTCAAAAGAGCAATAAACAACATTTAAATTCGGCATACACTCTCGTGAAATTTTAAACAGCAAAGAATTCTTATCTGAGATGAAAATTGGACATCAGACAATTTATATAACGAATTCATCAAAAAAATATTTAGGTGATCAGCAAAGCTAGCAAAGATTTATAAAACAAATAAAAAGCAATCTAGTGTGAAGTAAAAACTTGTGAAAAAGTTGCGTGAATTAGGAACCGCAGAGTATGAAAATTTATGTTCGGTTTAAATTATACAACAAAGAAAATTACTAAAGTTAAAATTGCGAGATAGAGAAAATTGTATGATGTGAAAAATTGCAAAGCTAACAAAATTACATGAGTTTAATATTTGCCACACTTTATCAACGATTCGAACGAAGAATTCACATAATATTAAATTATGCCACACTTTATCAGAGATTCAAACAAAGATTTTACATGATCCTAAATTATGCCATTATCCAAGTGATCGGTTACTTAAAACAAGTAGCTTTGAGAGTTTATATCGTGGACTGTGCCCATGTTATCCCACACAAAACAAATGATAAATAAATACAAAATGCATCCTGCGTTGTGAGAAATATGCGTCTTGGTGCTATAATTTCCAACGTTGCGAGAAAATGTCTCGACAATATGATGAAGATCTCATGATGATAACAGCCTAAGGGGAGAAATTTTTTATCCCCCCCGTACCTCAATCCACGATATTATAAGTTCTACCGCACTTTACACGGTCTTTGTCCCAGAGTGGTACAACCTTAGGTTAATTTAACTGCCGTAAATAAACTATTAGTAAACTTGTGTGAGGAATTAAGAAGTGTTATGATGTAACACTTGAGTATGAGCATCCAGAAATCGTATTTATAACTTGATAAACAAAGATGAGTCCTGACTAAGTAAATCTCATGAAATCTCCTAACAAGTGCTCTGTTAGAGCTAGTTAACGATTAAAATCCTGGCATGAACTGTGAATTTACAAACAATAAACAAATTTGAGGGTTGGGAGGATTGTTTTTACTGAAATTATTACATTATCCACACTTCATCACTTCTTACTCGAGATTTATAATAGTTATTTTATGGCATTTAAACGAATGTGAAACGTTGGTCCACTTTGAGAGAAAGGACCTTGAAAATTATCATGAGTTAAATTAATATAATCATGGACTTGAAATGGAAGGTGTATTTTTTATGTTTATTTTGTATGATATTATTTGTGTTTATTTTCTTACATCCGAATTGTTTTCTCACAGCTTAATACTTATTCTCAAATTATTATTTTGATTTTAATTGTATTGTTGTGTATAGTGCATGTCTGCTTTGTTTTATGTGATGTGGGAATTCAATGGATGATTGTTTGCTTCCCAGCTTCAATAATTCATTTAATCATCATCAGAATTTCGACACTACAAATTTCAGATTAACGCGGTCACTATATAGTAGGGATCTCTACGCAGACCTTTTTTGATTTGTTCTGAACTTAGCACCTCTGAATCAATAATAATAAAATCAACGAGTTGAAGTTCATTGGTCAATATTAGCAGGAAGAATTTTCAAGATTTTAAAAGTACTAAAAGTTGTCAATTATCATATTCCTTCTTTTATCATGATGAAAATTTAATATGTTAAAGGTATCACAGTGCAAAATGTATTTCCATATACATGTTTCGTCATATATACCGTATTTACCATATAAACATGGTTTTAATTAGTTACTGTTGTTTTGATTTTGAATAATAACAATTTGGGTTTATGTCTTAATTGGAACTATTTTTGTAGGTCAACTGTTTCATAATAAGTCCTCTGTGTCTGGGCTGAACCTGTTTGGTTTATCTTGATCTCATTGAATTCTGTTTTATTTTTAACTTTCAAAAGAGACAAGAAGTCTAAAATATTGTATACACTTCGAGTGAATAAATTTTAAAAACAGAAAATGATTATGGGTTTGAAACTGCATAGATTGGCTGTTTTAATATAATACGTTTTGTCCACATATCAACAATTTGTCTACCATAACGACAGTGCCAGTGGGACAAAAAGAAAACAAAACAACGACCATTTTAAAATCCAGAACAAGTTCCACATGTTGTTGGCAAATATGTATGTTTTGTGGACTTTTTACAATTTATAAACACACTTAATTATTTTCTTATCACGATGCTACGATTTTACTACTTGTTCCCACATTAAATCTTCCAAATAAAGAAATATTTTTGTCACACTTGAGTAATTGTTGGTTGCATATCTAACGTGTTAGCATAATTAAAGGAGTTTTCATTTAATATTTTGGTTCATTTTTGACTAACACCAAGCAAATTATAATCAACAACTTAAGAATTAGTTTCAATTTAACTGTCAGATTACAACCCGATTGAAATTTACATGCATTTATATTATGCCAATTTCCATTCCCATGTGATACTTACCATAAATATAGAAGGAAGAAAATATTTTTTACAAGAAACTATCTAAATAATGGAACACTGTTACTAAAATTATTGAAATTATTTATTTTATAATTAATTTGTTATTAGCAACTTTAGGTTGGCAATGCCTCAACCGTAACCATAACCTTGCCATTTTATTTTGACAGTTCTCCAACTAACCTTAAAATAAACGTGTTTATTTCTAGCGAAAAGTCAAATGATTCGCCCCCTCTCACGTTTTAACACACTCTGGGAAAAAATTGGGGTAACATGTTATAAACAACCCCACCGAACTTCACTTAATCATGGCACCCCCAAACCTAACCTCACTTTCACACCGGCTCTCAACTTCCACACTACGCTTAAAAACCACACGAAAATCTTCACAGACTTCGAAAATAACTACGCTTATAAACTCCTGCCACCCATATCCAAATTTGAACCATCACTCAGCGCCCCCTCCGCTATAACAACCCTAGAAGCCTTCGACAACCACCTCAACCAAAACTGGAGGGCTTCCACCGCCACAGCCATAGTCGAAGCATTCGAACGAGTCAAAGACATCACAATTTCGCACAAGATCACTCTATCAGACAAACGCTTCGACAAACTAGTCGACGGCTTAATGGACCACTGTGAAAAATTAACAGACGATGAGCTCCTCCGACTTCTGCTAACGTTGCTCGAGTACCCGCCATGCGACGCTTCGAACTCGCGCAATTTCCACGACGTCTGGAGCTGCCTCGACGATATATGTTGCTGGAAAATGAGCAACTGGGATTTGCAGAAGTTGTACACTTTTGCTGATGTGTGGTTTCGGTGGAATTTGGGGCGTTTGAGTGACTTTGTGTTCGAGGTGTTGGACAGGGCTACGTTCAAACCGCATCGGTTGTCGAAGAATATGCTAGTTTACACGTTTTTTTATTTTAATGTGAATCGGAGGAAATCGGTGCCGTTTGAGTTTGAGCATGAATTGGCACGGAGGATTGACGAGTTTAGTATTGATGAGTGGGCGATTATTGCGATGGGGTATTTTAAGACTAAGTCGAAGATTAAGTTGCCGGAGATTGCGAGTGCGATGATTAGGGCCGTGAGTGAGAACTGTGAGACGATTAATGAGATCAGTTTGACGGCGATTTTAAAGGTAAGGAATAAATAAAAGTGAAGGGAGTTAGTTTGTTTTTACGACACTGTAAAAATTGTAGTTGTACTCTATAGACACAGTCCACCTTTCTGTGCCCAAAAAACCTGCCGCATATTATAGTCTTTACTCGGTTTTCGTAAAACAGCCCAACTACCCTGACCGGCAAAAAAAATTGAACTAGTGATCGTTATTTATATTAAGGGTGCCCAGTAGCAGACCCAAAAATGAGATAAATAGAATTTCATTTTACGGGCGTAATTTCAACTTTGAAAAAAAGATCGACATTTCAATTGATAGATTATGTCTAAATCTCTGGGGAAGACACAATATTTTTTAAAATAAGTGATTGTTTAGTGTTTAATTAATCGTTCATTCTTCGAAGGAAATTGCATTTTTAGACGAGGAGAGAGCATTTTTCGCTTCAACTTTTATATCAGTGCAAAGACAACATTGAGCTCTATGGGGAAGACCCGGTCATTTTTGTTTAAAATGTATATTTATCAAAATATTTGCTTTTTAAAAAAATACTGAATAATGAAAATAAAGTGAAACTAGGCAACCCTATTTACAAAGATCCGTTTCAATAAATGGCTGAGTTTTACACAGCAGGGAGCCTTGCCGACCGATCCTTTCAGGTAATCAGTTCAGGTACTTTAGGTCATAAAACTCATAAATACTCTTAGCTGACCAACATTGTTGAAACTCTTTTACAAGTCGACTTCTTTCATTGCTGACATAATTTGATTTAAAAGTATGCAAATTTTTATAATTTTATACATTCTACTAAAATATTTTCTTTCAAAAAATTATTCAAATATTTTTTATTAATCTGTCATTTTATATATTAATCAATACACAAAACTGACAAGATTTATTTTCTCATCACTTCACTAACCACTTATTTACCTGAACAATCATATTTATTTAAATTTAATTTTTTGATACTCTTTTCCTCACTACCTATGAGGTAGAGTATTATAGGCACGTTTTTTATGTGGTATGTCCAGTAAACCTATTCCTGTGTGTGTTTATACTAGAAGTTCAAAAGATTTATATGAACTGCACATGACGCGAATGCAAATAAAAAATTTTAATTGTACAATTTTTTCTTTACGATTTGTCTAATGGGTTGACTTGTTTAATAACGAGAATCTACTCTTTCCGGAAGTAAGGCATATAAATAAAATTTTTCTAGGGCTCTATCATATTATTTTCCCAAAATTTATCATCTCGTTGAATTAAACATTATTTAAATTGGTCATTTTATATATTTCTACGATAGCGTTTTTGTTTATTAAGCCGTCTGGCGATGCCGCTAAAAATGTACAAACCGCATTGTCTTATTTTCAGTTTGGTGTTACTGCAAAATGCTTCAGTTGCCCTTGCTTCATTTTCTATGCAAAGATTTTGGGAGAGTACATGCTGAACTAGATTTGCAGGGATGTAAAATGTTTTTCACAGTACAGTAGGATTAGCCGTGTTACTTGTTCTCTCATTTTGCAAATTTTACCAAAATAACGTTCGGTTAGTCTAAAGGATTTTTCTGCGCACCATTCTGGATTATTGCGTTCGCTAATTGTGTTTTGTTCGATTAAAAAGACATCAAAGTTTGAAAGTTTTTTGAGAAATACTTTTTGGGCTGTGACATATCAGGTATTTCAATTGTCTCGTTAGATACATCGTCGCCCGAGAACTTGTATGATCCACATACCGGAGCGCGCTCAGGCCAATGTCGACTCTATAAGCCTCCAGAAATTCTGCGGGAAATAGTTATTATTTAGATGCTTTTGTTTACACGCATCTCACATGTTTCACTCGATTTTGACATGCAACTATTTTTTTGTTTAATTAAGAATTAATTCTTTCATTGCGTTTGATACTAACGTCCTAAATTAGCAATACTAGTGGAACAGTAATCATGCAATAGATTTTTTGGGAAAGTACAGTTATTTTTATGTTTTAGCAGCAATGTGTTCTACTTTCTATTAATTTTTACATATTTTTAGTCACAATTTTGGTAGTTATTTTTTACTTTTATTTTTAGCAATAATAAATAGTCCAAACATGAAAAAATAAAAAAAAATATAATTGGAAAATCTAAAATTTAGAAATCGAGAAATTGAACAATCGTATAATTGAAAAATCGAAACATCGAAAAACTGGAAAATCGAAAAATTAAAAAAAAATGGAAAATCAGAAATTTAATGAATTCCGAAAATTGAAAAACTGAAATATGCATAGAAGAACTGAAAACGCGACAAATCGAAAAATCTAGAATTTTAAAAATTGAAAAATGAAAATATCGAAAAGTTGAAAAATTGCGAAATCGTATCATTGAAACATCAGACAATTGAAATCGAAAAATAAAAACATGGAGAAATCGAAAATTTGAAGAATGGAAAAATTGAAAATGTCAAAAATTAAAATACTGAAAAATTGAAACATCAAAAGTTGAAGAATCGAAAAACCGAAAAGCCGAAAAATCTCAATAATGTATTTATATGCTACTAAAAAATTGATAACGTCATCTCAAAATTTTGTCGAATAAATTCTACTAACAATATGCAAAATATGATGAGTTTTTACTTGTAATTTATCACTGCATTCATATTTTTTAGATTTGCTTATATACCTAGGTGGCTCAAAAAAATTAATGAATGAGTCAATTGATTAAATCAAGAACGACTCACTCCATTTTCCCAGAAATTTTGTGAATACTGTTATTTTTAGTCTAATCCACATTGATTTACGTGTCCTTGTAAAATGTTGATGATTTCATCACAAAATTGTGTACCTAAAGTAAAAATTTAACTCGAAAATGCTGGATATGTTTCATTGTATTTTAGGTGCGAGGGAAGTTCTGTCGAAACAACTTTCCACCAATTTTTTTGCTGTTATATTTGAACATAAACAGTTTATTTTATGTATTTTTAAAGCATTATGAAGAAAATAAAAAGTTGTGTTAGACTGAACCTTGTGGGTTTCTCAATCTATTTTCCGCAGCATTTTAAACTTTCAACTCAATTTCTTTCGAAATACATACAAATGGATTTCGATGGTTATTTCCCTGTACCCTTCATTTCAAAATAAATAAACTTATCTGGTATTGTTTACCGATTTGCATTTTATGACGGTCTCCCTACAGTCACCATAATCTCTCGTGTTTTTGGGTCGGTACCTGCGATGGGTCGGTACTTTGGGTTGCATAGTTACGAAAAATAATTCTTCTCACTGGAACCGATTTTGCGGGCCACGACTGGAGACCCTTAATGAACCATTCACTATTGACACATTTAGCAAAAAACAGAAGACAAATAAACGCAGAATTAAATTTAATTTAACAAAATATCAGAAACAGAGCAAGTACGATATTTTCTTAATGTGTTTTTCATCATTTGATTATAAGTTTACCAGTTAATAAACGTTTTGACGCGAAAACAATGCCGTTAATTCTTACAGACGTCTCTCAAATTGTCGCTCTGTTTCTGTTATTTTGTTAAATTTAATTTAATTCTGCGTTTATTTGTCTTCTTTTTTTTTACTAATTTATACATCATGTGTCAATAGTGAATGGTTCTTCAATAAAATAACGATCACTAGTTAAATTAATAATTTTTAAAGTTTGGTTTTGTGAAATTTTTCAGGGTGGCTGGTTTTTTTGCCGGTCAGTATAGATTACATTGAACACAAAATATGGGATCTGAATATTAACAAAACAACCAAGAATTTCAACCAACAACGAATTTACAAGATATTACATTACGTCACACATTGTCAACAATTTTAAACAACAAAAATTTACATGATGTTAAATTAGGTCACACATTATTATCAACAATTTCAAAGAAGTAAGAATTTAGGTAGGATAAAATCACACATGAAATCGCATTCACAGATTACCTCGTGGACCGAAACCTCCACACCACATACAAAAAAAAAACTGATTCAGTACGATCAAAATCAAAACAAATGTTCAAACTTTAGCCGCAAGAAGATTATTGAACTTGCAAGAAAATAATTAAATCTGACACAAACTATTAACCCATATTCAAGGCTCCCCGTTTTTTTAGTCCACTTTCAACCCTTTTCTCAAAATGGACCAACGTTTAGATCAGTTTCAATGCCATAAGTGAACTAACATATTAGCAATCTCGAGTGAGAAATTAAGAAGTGTGTTACAACGAATAAACGTCCAGAAACTTTAGTTATAACGTGATATACAAAAGAGTGAACCCTGAATAAGTGAATTTCCTAACACGTGGTCTATATGAACAATTTCATGACTGTTAAGTTGTATTAGAACCAGGAACGGTTGAAAATCTTTATGAGCTGTGAATTTACAAACAATAAACAAAAATTTACACCAGGTGTTGACATCGACGAAACTTCACAAACCCAAATATTCCGCCAAAATTAAGACATGCGCACAAAATTTTGAAAAACCCGCGAAAAATTCGAAAAGTGGCCATGAACTATGATCATCAACAAAATGGAACCCTACGTTGTGTTTTGAAATGGCGGAATGTGTTCTGATGCAAAGTGGCGCAGTGCCGAGCGGGAAGAGTGTAGGAACTCAAAGTCAACACTGAAAGGGAACATATTTTATTCAAGTTTGGTAAAAGTGGTTAGAATTGAAAAAAATCTTTAGTATTACAAGTAACAAAACAAATGGCCGAAAACACCAAACAAACAACAAGTGACGCATCAACACCAAAACAAGCCTACCTTCTCATGCATTACCATTACCAACCCCTCACCAGTTACCAACTTTAAGAGTGACATTCACTAATTCTCTAGACAGTCTATCACCCCTAACTGAAGATCTCCGCACATGGTTGCCTATGTTTAAGGATTTCTTAACTTATTACTCAAATTCCAATTATTCAAACGCGGTTTCGTGGCATGTTTTTATTCAGACTGGGACACCACACTTTCCATTTTTAAACTTAAATCCGTGACAAGTTGTCAAACTTTGTAATGCTAATCTTGAAGTGATTAAACTATAGAATTAAAGGCTTTTTTTAATTGAGTTCAACAGATCGTGAATTTTTTATTTTGGAATAAGTTATACAGGATGCTGAAAAAATGGCGCACCAACTCAACGGTACATTATTAAGTTCACAAGTCTAAGTTCGGGATAAATCAATACAAAATTCCTTACGTCAATTTGACGTTCACTTACAGCATCAAAATATCGATTTAGACCGATAAATCAAAAAACTGTAAAAATTAGTCACACTTTTCCAATTCATCCTAAACAATTTTTAAGTTTTTTGTTATATTATAAAATGAAGAAAGCAATGAACGAAAACAAGATACCTCCAAAATTATTTTGAATAATGGAAATCTAATTGATTTCATGTATTCAACACTAAGCGGTGGGCTATATTTTCTACATTTGGGCCCAAAAATTTTTTCAGCACCCTGTATAACCACTTACACGGTTGACTTTATTTAAAAAGTGTTAAATTGCCAAAAAAAAAAACATTTGTGTATGAAAAAATAAAAATATGAACTTTTATCACCAATGCAAATTTTTTTGAACATCACAAATTTAACCACAAAAAAATAAAAGAGAAATACACAAGTTAGGTAGGTTCCTAGTCGGCTAAGGTTACAAATCCGCCATTGCAGATAAGCATTCACTTGAACACGGCAAGGAAAGAAAAGCTCTCAATCTCTCAATTAATTTTGGTTAAAGTTAATAACTCTTAAATTTTGATGATAGCATTAGTATGGGTACTACTCTATATACAAGGAAAAAAACAAGTAAGATGGAATCATGTTCAACTCTCTAAAATCTCTGTCAACAATTTTAATTAACAAGAATTTACACGAGTTTAAATTATCTGTTAATTCAAGTTATTGATAAATCAATTCCCAGATCACCTCCTGAAGCACCTATTACATATAAACAAAGCACGTATCAAATACGGAAAAAAATTGGTCTCGGAAAAACGGTCGGCGTACTTCGAGACCAGATATTCAAGTGGAAGCCGCAAGAAATTTTTAAATCTCTAAGAAAATGTTAAAGCTCTCCCATTTTTCGAGTCCACAGGACTATTAATGTAACCGATAATAATTTTCAAGGTCCTTTCTTTAAAAAGGGACCAAATAAGTTTCGTGTGAGAAGTTATGAAAAATCTGTGTTATCGTATAATAACTTATTAACAAACATCCGGAACCTTAAATATATCGTGTATATTATAGTATTAAATTGTATTAAAACCATGAACAGTTAAAAATCGTAACATGAACTATGAACTTACAAACAATAAAAACAAAATTCCACGTGTTGATGAAACTGGTCAGAATTTTTCGAAGAAGACCGCGGCATCGAATGCGATTCATTTTCTTTAAACAATTGCCCCTTTTATGAAATCACAAACTAAATTTAACCTACCAACTTTTACTACACGTTTCACTCACTACATAACAAGCACAAGTGGCGGCCAAAAACAGAAAGTGAAAACATTTTCCCTAACTACTAGCAACCTAAAAGGTGACATTCATATATGCTATTGAAATGAATGTTTCTTCTTTTCAGCGCGAAATTTAAATTTCCCGCGTTAAAATGACATGTGAAAAAAATTTGAAGAACCGCGAAAATTTAAAAATTCAAAAATTTGGCCTTGGTTGTGATCGTCTAACAAGATGAACCCTATATTGTGTTTCTTTTTTTTGGTGGAATGCGTTCAGATGCAAAGTGGCGGACTCCAAGGTTGGAAAAGTACAGCTAAAGAAAACACAAAATATATGGAGGATACAAAATTATTTATTCCTCCACTAACAAAAACAGAAAAAGAAAAAGCTATGGCTAAGTTCCGCAGGTTGAAGACCTTCTTTGTTTTCAGCTACAAAAAAAAAACTTGCCAAACTTTGAATTAAATCAAATTAAACGTTCTGAATCAATGCAAATATTTGAATTTCACAAATTTAACAAAACAAAGAAAAATCTTAATTAAAGTCACTGGAAGTAAATACACAAGTTATTACGGACGTGTGGCGGCAAATTTAAAATTGTGGCAGTCAACAAGAGAACAAAATTTTAATAAGAACTCTATACAGCGGAGCGCATAGTGACAGCGGCATCCCTACCGCCCCTGACTTCTATTAAAGGCCTGCATCCTTTTGTGCAGATGGCGCCACCGCCAGCTCGACAAGGAACCGCGCACTCCGTCTCCGCCACGTGTTTCTGTGTTATTTACTTCAATTCCATTTAAATGTTCAATTACTATAACTCTGATATTAAACTACACCTGAACAAGTGTAAAAGTTTCAAAAGGAGTAATAAACGACATTTAAATTCGTCATACACTCTCGCGAAGTTTTAAACAACAAAGAATTCTTATCTGAGATTAAGATTGGACATCAATTAATGCGGTGAAAAATTGCAAAGGTAACAAAATTACATCAGGTTAATATTTGCCACACATTATCAACGATTTATACACAGAATTTACATGATGTTAAATTATGCCACACTTTATCAACGATTTAAACAAAAAAATTACACGATGTTAAATGATGCCTTGATCCAAGTGACTGAATACTTAAAAAAAAATTGCTTTGAGAGTTTATATCGTGGACTTATCGCAAATAAAAACACATGCTAACTAAACACAAAATGCATCCCGCGTCGTGAGAAGAGCTTCTCGGTGATATAATTTCCCACGTTGCGTGAAAAATGTCTCGGTGATGTGATGATGATGATAATGATGATGACTGCCTAAGGGGAAAATTTTAATCCCCCCGTCCCTCAGTTCACGATATTATGAATTCTATCGCACTTTGCACTTGGGACAACGTTAGGTTAATTTAACTGCCGTAAATGAACTACATATTAGCAATCTTGTGTGAGAAATTAAGCAGTATTATAATGTAACACTTAAGTATAAGCATCCAGAAACCTTATTTATAACATGATAAACAAAGATTGAGTCCTGACTCAGTGAATGAAATCTTCTAGCAAGTGCTTTATTTGAACAATCTCATGGCTGTTAAATTGTGTTAGAACCAGTAACGATTAAAATCCGAACATAAACTGTGAATTTACAAACAATAAATTAATATTACACCACGTGTTAGCGTCGGCTGAAAATTCGCATATTTTCGATTAGAAAAACAGCAATAATTAGCTATGCTTGTTGGGGAAACTGTGGAGTCGTCATCGATACGATTTTATTTTAGTTAAACAAAAGCTGTCCCGTTTTTCTTACTACCAAACCAACTAAACATAACCTAGCGTCCTTACCGCGTGCTTTCACTCACCAAAATAAAACAACAGTGACGCGTCACCACTCTCTAGCAAAACAAGTCAACTTCTACCAACCCTCTCAATAATAATAATAATAATTCAATCAATCAATTTAACACGATATTTTGGGATTACTACACACTTCAAAAATAAGAAGCAAAAAATGGCAGAATGAAAATGTAATATACATATTTGCAAAGGCTTGGATCTACAAAGTGTAGTGGGATGATCCTAATAATAATAAAAATAACATAAAAGATGACGAAAGAAAAATGACGTACCGGACGGGATTCAATCATTGAGATGCTTCACCCTCTCTAATTCGAAGCTACTATAAAACTTTACTGTTCTCTCTTTGTTTGCGATCAAATGCAACCGTAAACAGCCCAAAAGGGGCTATAATATATATTATTCTTGAGGAGTACTCATAGAGTGTCAAGCTTCCTTGAACACAAATGTCCTCGCTCTGTCAAACGTGCCTACCGACAAGACAATCCCATTTTTGAACTGAAACTAGTCTGTGAGACTGCACGATTCGGCGCATCATATGTCTTCTCAGAATTTTTCAAGAAAGCTAATCCAGTCCAGAATGGTCGGGCTTTTTTATGTGATTTTGACCAGAAATCTAATCAACGGTCTATGATTTGGTCGCGAAGCCAACTATTCTACCCGTGTTCTCATAGTCGGACGTAAAGACATCATGAACTTGGTAGAACATGTACAGGGTCCAACTGTTTCCCGCTTGGGCCCAGTCTTTCGTTGTAAATTCCCATTGTTCGGTCCCATGTATTATTGGAATGGTGATGATTCCTCGCTTCGGCTTTCTCATGTATGACCATTCGCTGTACGTGGACTTAACATCGGGTTCACTTCAAGCGACATTCCAAATTTATAGCCCCATAATTTGGGAACTGCAGGGTCAAGCCTCCGTAAGTTCAAAAAGTCCGCACAAACACAAAGATAGGTTAACTGAAGAACTAACTACTCTACTCGTGTTCCTAGGGTCGGACTTAAAGACACTATGAACCTGGCAGAACGTGTGGAGAATCGAAATGTTGCCGTTTAGGTTCATTCTTCCGTTGTAAAACAGCATAAAATCCCCTTTCCCTCTTAGAATTGACGATGAGATTTACTTCACTGATAATGTTCAAAGCAAAACAATGTTTAAAATTAAATCATGAATACTGTAAATTACTGTGTTAGAATTCCAAAATGAGAAACTATTAAATTTAAATAATAAGTAATTTAGAAAAAAAACAGCTAGTCTAATCAAAACAATAAATTATGCACAAGTTTCAAATACTTCAACACTGAAGACTTGCATCTTGCATCCTCCCATTACCACTGACTGAATGAATCTACATCCCGAGTGGGCAACGAAAGCTCCCCACTGTGCAAGGAAGGATTTTTTTCTGGCGCTAAATTTAACTTGAACCGGGACACTACATAATCAGCCAGTAAATCAAGATCTAAATAATTGGGAACAATAAAATAAGAAAAATAATGGAACAGACGTCAGAACAACCAATGAAAGTGGAATATTTAGGTTCAAGTTATTTTAAATATACGTTCTTTTGAAAGTATTGAAGTTCTAAGTGTTCTTGAACTCGAGTACATTCCAGTGAGTACAGATGTCGTAAAAACAAATTAACGCTTGCAGTAATATAATAATAATAGTAATAGTAATAATAACAATCATCACTAAAACAGGCACTTAGATTGAGTCAACGTGGCGAAGTAGCCTCCGACATCCCCCCCATGTTGGACAAAGTAACCCTCCAACTCCCTCGACTCTCAATAATGTCCCTCGTCCATGTAGCCCTCATAGGCACCCAACTCCAACTCAAACACGAACCATCTATACGCAAATGCGCCGACCGAATCATCGCAGAAATCGAAACCATAAGAATCAAAGACCTCGAACGAATCCTCCTCGCATGCTCCATGTTCAGCATAGACACAACCCCCAGCATCTATGAAGTTGCATCCAAAGAAATCCTCAAACAAACCCGACGAAAAGAATTCGTCCAATACAACAGATGCCTCCCCAGCATCCTCAACTACCTGAGTTTGCGAAAAATTTACTCCCACAACCTAATGAACGACGTCTTGAATGACGAATACATCAACGAAACGTACGGAAAATCCTCGAAAAACGTTCCTAGGGACTTGTTCTCGCTTGATACTTGCGTGGAAGTTGAGTGCCCGGATTATAAGGGCAACCGGTTGAGCCCCCAGAAGAGGTACAAGGCTGCGAAGTGGCTGTCTGAGTATGCCCCAACTCGTGATCAACATAAGCGGTTGTCGTTGTCCGATAAAGCGTACTTGGAGATCGTTGATTCGCTTGTGGGTATTGTGGGGGAGGAGCGGTTATTACGTAGCGATCACGTGTTGCCTCATTTTAGCAAACCAGGTGAGAGGACGCCCACTGTAGCCATTTTAGGGGCGTTTTTGATGGAGTTTGGTTGTAGATATTATCCTGTGTAAGGATCAGGTTAGTGGTGAGTTTGTGGAGCCCTTTGGATTCGAGAATTATGTACTAGGAGACGTGATGAGGCCGTTTAATGTTGAAAAATACAAGTGGTATGCAGTGATGGTGTTGACGCCGAATTTGACGTTGAGGGATGCGTGTGAGCCCTTGGGAGGGATGATCATGAAGGAGAGGCAGTTGAAGACTATTGGGTATACCCCGGTTTTGGTAAGTAGTCGTAATATGTACATACAAATAACGGTAAATTGTATACAATATTTCAACACAGTTAAAATCGCAGTAGTTGGTAATAGTTAGTAAGTCACATTTAAAATCCGCGCCAAAACCCAGCTCTCTCATTGGTTGCTTTCAAATTCGCAACCCTCTTAATCTCCCGCTATTTGTACCCATCGCCCCCATCATTTTTCGTTTCAGGTGTACGCTGCACCCTTCACCACGCTATCCTCCGCCGAAAAAACCGCCCATTTGCGCCGCCATCTCTCTTGAAGCCGCTCCCGAAACTCAGCCAAAAAAACATAGTGTGCCGATTTAGACAGTTGTTACTTATAAACAAGTTTAGTTTTTTTATGTTTTTCTTTGAGAAATCCCTTCAAAAAAATAATGAACAAACTTTACAAACCCAAAGGTGAGCCGTTCTGCCGCCGCCCCCGATCCCCCTGACCCCTCCGCAGTAACATTTTCAGATAGTTTAACGAAAGTGTCGAAAAATGTCCGTCGAGAAGTGCGTCCACGTAGCAGGAGTGTGTACACGACGAGCTCTTACATCAGCGACGACTTGGGAACCCCGCGGGACCTCAACAAGTACGACAACCCGTCGCAATGGTCGCCGTACGTGCCCAAGCCCATCGTTGTCAAAAATTACTACCCGGATGACCTGAACGTGTGAGTTTTTTTGAGGTTAAGTGCGAGGTGTTCATGGGGGGTTGTAGAGCGAGGCATGGACGGATGAAGGGTACATGGGAGGCACGACCATCACGCCGCACGGGGTGATCTCGCTGAGGCTGCACGATAGGATCCGAGTGGATATTTCGCTGGACAGGGCCATCAGGATTATTAACATGAAAAACTATATTGTGTTGGCCTTGAATGCGAGCGGGAGCTCGTCGGCGCTGATACACCCCAACGGGAGGGTGCTACAGTATGGGTCCAGGGTGGAGATCTTGGCCCATGATGGGCAGGGGAATAACAAGTAAGTTTTATTTACGACTCGAGAAGTACACTCAAATATGACTATTTTTGAAACTGAATTGTGAATGATTTTTTAAATGTAGCGAATCCATTTTTTAATTTTTTTGAAACGAGAGAGAAGGAAACGATTTTTTACAATTTTGTGTCACTTCCGTTGTTAAAACATCGAAGTAGAAAACGTGAGAACGAATTATATTACAACTTGAAGTAGGTTTTGGATTATAGTGACATTCTTAGTTCAACTGAAAATGTCATTTGTCAGAAATTAAATTTGAGGTTAGAAAAATCTGACATTTTAGTTGGCAGCATTGTGGTTTGTCATAATCGAGTTCAGTGACAACCTACACATAAATCTTTAACTGACCGCAAACATGAACGTAGCACAGTTTACATTCTAGAACAACCAAAAGAAATTAACGAATTTTAAACTAAATTATTGTCCTAATATTAAATTGTTAATACATATTTCTAGTCCATGTAGATTATGAATGTATAAGGAATTCACGTTCGGTAGATGTAACTAGATTTGGTAACTTTTTTTTTAAGCTGTGTAACTGCGGACATAATTGTTCTAGTGTATAATGTATAACTGGAACGTCAGAAAGTAGGTATCAAAAATGTGACATGTAAGTAAGTAAATGTCAAACATCGAAAATGTGATGGTTTTGTGATAATCTGCTGAATCTATTTTTGAATCAAGGAGAAAATCACATCCCTCGAAAAGCCCAAAGAGGAACCCGCATGTAAAATTGTGAATCTTTTCCCTTCACTAGTTTTTTTGGGAGGGCAAGATTTGATGTCATCATCATGGATCCACAATTTTACCATAGATCCATTTTGGTATATCCATGTCTCATTCAAGAAAATGAAAAGTAAATCTTCACCACTATCACGCAATTGGAGATACCGCCCTAGTAATTTGATTCTGGTAGCGTGGTAGCTATAACGTGTTTAAAATGTGAAAAACTTTGCCTTCGGAAACCTAAATTTATATGTGTATTACGTACAATTATTCTCAAAGCCGAGTGTTTTCCCACTTACAAAACAATAACGATTATAATATAAAACTTAAAAACCAATTGTAGAGCGGAACCAACAAAGTATGTAGGTGGTGTATGTATATAAATCTGCGCAGTCGTCTTTCTGATTCTGATTATAAAATTAACGGCACCGGCGCCATTGTATTGGTATTATTTTAAAATTCGAAAAGCACTCGACAACACAAGCGAAGTTTACGGAAAATATTTCTGCCACCAGTATAACTGTTTCCGTTTTACCCAAGCGTTGTCCCTTTTCTCTGTAATTTTTTGATAACCACGAAATATTTCTTGTCTCTTTTCCTTTAAAATGGGCTTTCTTGTGACTACTTTTGTGGAAATTGTTTCCACGCTGTATTTAAGGATTTTCTTGAAACGAAGCGTGTTAAAATTAGAAAAACTTTGTTTTTTTCCACACAAGTCAGATTTGACATTTGAATTAGAAAATTAGACGGTTGATACCAATCTTTAGTTTCTAGTGATCTTAAGATTGCAACTTAACCACAGAAAAATTTCTGTCAGCTACTTCTACCGAACGTGAATGCTTATTACGTACAATTTTACTACAAATTCATTGTAATATTTTGAATGTATGTTTATTGTTTGACACTTAGCAGCAGCTAAGATTACTACTGGTCCCAGAAAGGAAGTAGTTAATAAAAGGCATACGTCCAGTAAGTTCAAATTTCCATATCAGGATTACCGGAAATATTTAAACCCTAATCGTAGTCAGGATAAACATAGGTAAATTTTTTAACAACATATTTTTTACTAATACTCTGTCTAAAACAAGTTTGTTTTATGGACGAACAGGATTTTTATGTTAGGTTTGTAACATTCCAGAGCATTCGGTTTTGCAAGTTCAAGTTAAATCGTAAAATGTTGCTATACAGTTCTGATTTTTTTTCCAAAGATATGGATGTCAAGGGTAAAAACTGAACACAAACTCATAAACCACAACCGCAGGAGTATAAATATTGTTATAGAACTTTAAATTTTTTGACAAAAATCTGGATCTTTAAAGTAAGCACTCAACATAGATTTATAAACCATAAGTGCAGTTGTATGTTATTCTATAAAATTTAAATAATATTTATGGGACAAAATTTTATGAGGTCGTTAATTTTTTGGGAGAGGATAAACTTTATATTTTGATTAATCTTTTACCATGCTTATGATAACCTTAAAAGAACTAATACGTAATAAAATTATTAATATGTGGTCAATGAAAACATAAAAATTTAGAAAACAGCATAAAAACAACATTAAATTTTTTATACATTTCCTTTCGAAGTTTCATCGCGTGTCATTTTCAAATTGTCAGTATTCGTCAGTTTTTTCGATCGCTTACTGGATTGGGTAGATCTGTTAAAAAAATACTACTTTGGTTTAAAATAGTATCTAAAAAAAATCTCTTTTCAAATTCAAAATTTTCTGTAATTAAACGAGGATGTTTTGATTTTTGTCTACTTTATTCTGTCTAATTTAATTAAATTAATTTAGAGATTATGAAAACCTGCAGTGAGGAGGCGGATCAGTCTAATATGTCTCACTGGTGGGTTCCGACAATACTTTGCGTGCGATAGTAACTTTCGACAAATACTTCTATAGATCATCTTTCTTTAGCAGATAGTGTGTTAGTGAATGTGAAAAATAAAAGAATTTCTGCCAATAAAAAGTATAAAAATACTAAATATAAAATTATATTTATATTTATAAAAAGTAAATTTTTTGCAGTTAGAACCACAAATATTAATAAGAGAAAAATATTAAGTATCTATTTATTTTTTCGTAATAAAAACCTATTATATTTGTCAGCCTACTCCACTTTAGTGACGAATTTAAATCGCGATTCGGTCTACGACCATTTTTAAGTTGACCCATTTAGTAAAATTTACCCTTTTTAGAGAGCACAGAAATGTGATTTTTACAGAATTCAGTGTATAGAGCAATATTTTACATATTTGCCAAGATCAGACTGATTTTGCCTAATTATAATATACCCTTTACCCTTCATTTTCTTACAGGGTATGTCATTTGGCAAAAGTCAGTCTTATCTTAGCAGATACTAGCGTTCTAAGAAAATAAAAGGCGGGTGGGCAGGACGAGTGCTTGCCAAGATAAGGCTGATATTACCAGATAACATACCCTGTAAGGGCGGGTGGGTGGGGCTAGTACTTGCCAAAATAAAACTGATTTTGGCAAATGACGTACTCTCTAAGAATATAAAGAGGACGGGGCTAGTATTGGCTAAGATAAAACTGATATTGCCAAATGGCATACCTTAGAAGAAAATAAAGGGTGGGTGGGCGGGGCCAATACTTGCGAAAATAAGACTGATTTTGCCAAATGACCGTTTCATGACCCTCTCTGTTGTCTGTCTGTAATAATTTCCGAAGCTGCATCTCAAAAGTTTGGTTATTAGGTACTATATAAATTTTACAAAATAACATACTCCGAGTCTAAAAGGGCCGCGACTGTAATAGGTTCAGTAATTTGGGAGGTTACCTATGTAATATTTTCCAACAGACTACGAACTGAGTACTCTATATTGATTTAAGTTTTCTCGTGCAATTTTTCATTTAAGATGAATAAAACTGAGCGAACTGTGAGTTAAAACAACGTTTTTCGTGCCCCTGATTAATCAGAGTCTCTACAACCCGCTTTTCAAATTGGTATTGCATAAATTACACGGGTCAAGTATGAGCAATTAATACGACTTATCTGACATTTATTACTAAGGCCTTTTTTGAGTAACATACGTGTTGCTCTTTTTTATTGCTTTGACCAATTTATCCCCTACATTTTGACATTTCTGCAAGAATTTAGGTTAGAATTCAAATTTGTATTTTATTTTTATAGGGAGATTAATTTATTAGGAGTATTTATTTTGTATGTAATAATTACAAATAAATTTTCTTTTATTGGACCATCATAAACTTCAGCACAGAAATTTACATATGTCACATAAATCCAAGCTTATAGGTAGTAAAAGTTTCGGACTGAATCCTGACCAAATGCATACTTGAGCTAAATTCTGGATAGTTGTCCAAATTTATTGACACACATGATTAACCAATTGAATACAAACAAAATTATCTTGTAAGCTTTTAGAAAAAGATTTAATTTTTCGGAATATATATATTTTTTTTTCAGCAGAAATTTTCAGTTCAGATAGTTGTACTGTCCAACGATTCTAATGTGTGCTACCTATGAGTTGCCCTCTGGCGGTTCAAAGTGAAAAAATAACTGAATGCCCTCACCTTGTCTTTTTACAGATACGCAAAAATGTGGTACAAAGGTGTGAGCTTCACGAGCGACCAATGCGCCCTCGTCTACCTCGTGGACTCGGCGGGCACTAGAACCACAACGGACACTTTTACTGACCTGACTGGCGACATAACTCTTGACGTTTTCTACAAGTGAGTAAAAAAAGCAGCGGACAAAATTTGGCGTTTATTTTTAATTTTTGGTAATTTAGCCGACCCAATTGCAACGTCGACTTCGCCTGCATGACTCCTGGCACTCATTTGGTTAATGAGGCCGTTAGTATTCTGCAGTCGGCCAATTATTGGCTTACGGAGGATCGCACCGACAACTGGATCATAAACAACGTGCGAATTTCACAGACTGCGGACGGCCTTGTAAGGTAGGTCAGGTCACTATTTACACTGTGAAATGTCTGGAGTGAGATTTATGTTGCATGGGTATTTGACTGCGTGGAACTTTTACTAACATTTAACCAACCCATTTGGTGAAACAAACAATTCCTTACAACGGAAGTTCCACTATATATTAAGGAATTAATTTATAAAATTGCTATGATAATATTGAAGCGACCTTTTTTGATATTTCAAAACATTTGAGTTTGTGCTAAAAGCGTATAATGTTTGACTTTAAATCAAAGTTGAAAGTTTAAACAATATATTTTAAACTGGGACATCAATCTAAATTGCAACACAGATGAGTGCATACTAAAGAAACTGATTAAATTTGAATCCCATTAAGCGCTGTTACAAAAAATTCGAAAAACTAAAATGTCTCAAATTATTGTATACACAAAAACTATATACTGCTTGATTCCATTGATATTAAATTATCAAGCTTCATTATGATCTAAACGAAATTTCTCAATTTTAAATACTCGATTAGTCTCTAATAAAATAATAACCCTGCACCAATGCAGAATTCCGAACACTAAACTACTCTAATAACACCCGAAGTAAAGACTTTTTATTATTTCACGGCTGCAGTACAGGTAAGCATTTTTAGCATGTAGCATGTTTGAGACAATTTAGAACAAATGTGGTCGATGTGAAAATTCATGAGAGCTTATTATTACCGATATTGTGATAACCCAAACTTCCCGCCTTTAAATTGACCTTGAAACAAAGGTTTCAAAGGCCTGCGAAAAATTCAAAAATTCAAAATTTGGCCTTGGCTGTGATCGTCTAACAAATGAAAACATACGTTGTGTTTTTTTTTTTTTGAACATTGGCGGGAAGACGTTCTTTCATATAAGTGAGAATACACTGCGGATGAGTCGAGAGCGCAAGAAATAATAGACAAAATTTTTGGGAGGGGACAAAAAAATTGCGCCTCCTCTCTAGGAGGAAAAAGCTGCGAGCGAAGGCGACACGGACTTGCCATCTCGCATTCACTCCTCGGGCCCAAAAACCCCCTATCGTATATTCACGGACATATTACATTTCAAATGAAACACCATAAAAATATGAAAGAAAAGACACTCGCACATACACATATAGAAAAAGAACAAACACAAAATCCTATACATCTGTCTGGAATCAATGCAAATATTTGAATATCACAAATTTAATAAAAACAAAGCAAAATCTGAATTAAAGTAACTGGATGCAAATACACAAGTCATTATGGGCGTATGACGTCAAATTTTAAAGTTACGGCAGTTAACATGAGCACAACAAAAGTACCTCTGGGGTGTTCTAGCATAAGCGGAGTTTGGGGCTACCGGTTCGGGCTGGTCTCCCCTGCGACGGTGACTCTATCTATAGGCAAGCCTACCGCTCAGCACCCCTCTATCTAACGAAGAGACGTACCGCGCAACCCAGGCCGTTTCGGTCGAAAACTGTTGGTTGGAATGTCAAGGGCTATAAATAAGCTGACAGCTTCACGTCGTCCAGACCGTTCCCACTGACTATACAAAGCCTACACTCCTTGTGCAGATGGCGCGACAAATCCCGCTAGCCACCAGCAGGAGCGCCCTGCGCTTCTGCTACGTGTTTCGGTGTTATTTAACCTCAGTTCCATTTTTTTTGCTCAATTTCTTATAACTCTGATATTAACAACAACTGAACAAGTATTAAAGTTTCAAAAGAGCAATAAACAACACTTAAATTCGCCATTCAATTTTGGGGAATTTTAAACAACAAATAAATCTTATGTAAGATTAAAATTGGACATCAAAAAATTTATATGATAGAAACATTCACCAACAAAGTATTTACGAACAAAACTCAGCAAAGATTTACGAAAAGCAAAAGATCTGATGTTAAATAAACTTGTGCAAATAAAACTATTGCGAGGTTAAAACTGCAAAGCATGGAAATTTACGTTCAATTAAAATTATACAACAAAGAAAATTTACTGATTTTAACACTGTGTATTGTATGAGGTGAAAAATTGCAAAGTTAACAGAATTGACATGAGATTAATTTTTGCCACACTTTATCAACCATTCAAACAAAGAGTTTACATTATGTTAAATTATGTCATAATAACAATTTACTTTGAGAGTTTAAAATACCGCGAACTGGTAACCCCAACCATGGCCGACTAGTATAAAGATTATGGCCTGCCCAAACGTACTATACGTGCTGCCATCTATTAATAATTCCAAAAAGGACAAAAGAATTATTAACACTTTTTGAAAGGCACAAAGGCATTCATACCGAAACAAACGACCATTACACGTTTTGAAGTCTCATAATGTCAAATCAAATTAAAATTTTGCTAAATTATTAAGTGTAATTATTAATAGATGGTAACACGTACCTATGGTACCCATAGATAAATAATACTACGTAAATAGAATGCAAACCCCCACTTGATTTTTGGTCCCAATAAACGCCCCCTGGTGCCTTGTGGCCGGTGCTAAAGCATGAACTACTAGATGCGTCATTGCTGCATATTTTATAATTACTATTTTATTTTCATTATCACTAATAATATCAAAAACACAGAGTAGAATAATATGCTATTTATTAGTATTGTCTACGATTTTTTGACTTTAATTTTTTTTGGTACATTATACAAGCATTTTGATATAATGCATTTTTATGTGTGGAAAGTCTTGTATCGCGACCGCTTAAAATTAAATTCAAACCTTTTACAAATGTAAAAATTGTTAAATATATAATTTTATTACATATTTCACTTTCAATTAATTCCTTATGTTCACAATAAAACGAAAATTTGACATCATGAGATACTATTAACGAAATTCTGTTTTTGATGTTGTCGAAAGATGTACAATTGCTTGAAACGATTCTTGAAATATTATAAATTCTGTTAATGTTTTTTATAAAATCTAACTTACAATATTGCAATTTTCTGTTATTACAATTGTATTCTCTTATACGTATTAATTTGTAACATTGTTCGTCTTCCGAAAAATTGTTTAAAATTTGGGTTTTACAATATTCACACTTCAAATTTCTTAATGTTTTCGCAAACCAGCCAGACACATAACCAACAATACTTTTATGAAGATCTTTTTCTAAATCATATGGACACAGTTTTGCAATGTACATATTCACGTTTAAAATTTCGTAGCTCGTTTCATTTACTGAAGGTTGATTTATGTTTTTATCTACAAGTCCTTTAATATGAAATAAATCCGGTATGTTCGTTTTCTCACAGTTTGCGCCCATTGAATTTGAACTATAAAAATTGCGTAATAATAAAGATTTGAAACTTTCCTTAAATTGGACTGCCGTTAGATTAGTTGCTCGATTTCTTTGACTTCTGATTTTACCAAAATAGTTTTCAATAACATCTTGATTTAAACATCTAGATAAAAAAAATTTGCACCTGCCCTGTTCTACTAAAATTGTATGTAAATCCACAAAACCTTCTAACGTTGCAGTCCAGTTTTTTATACACGGAGGTACTACCATTTTTCCGGCCTCATCGACGAAATACATATCACCCAAAATTTTGACAGCTTCCTTCCAAAAATGTTTATGACCAGAAGATTTAAATACGCCCCCAGAAAATGGTTTTCCGCACCGTGGTTGAAAAGTACCGCCATTTACACTGTCGAAAAGCTTGTCAAAAAATTTTAAAATTCGTGCTGTTCCCATTGGCTCATGTGTTAAACTGCATTCGGCTGTAAAATTAAATTGTAAATGAATCAGTTAATTATTTTTAAATTTGTATTTACTAGATTTAACCAATAGCGTAATAGTCGATGCCACTGAGTGACTCAAAACTTGTGTCGCATAGCACACCTTCATCTTTCGGATTTTTTCCGGAATTACGTGGAGATCCGGAATTTTGTGTAGAGCCCGTAATTCTCCACATGTTAGATCACTGTAGTACGCATCGATTATATGTTTCCAATTTGCAACCAAAATTTCCTCGCTTGTTTTCCACACTAAATTTTTAGTAAGCAGATTGTTCCTAATACATTTAATTAAATGAGGCGTGTCATATAATGGAATAATTTCTTGATCCCCTAATAAAATTCTTCTTTTAGGTTCCATCCCTTTATGTATATAACGTTGTTTCGACTCCTTTAGCAGAGAATTTATAGCTGCTTGGTTTGGTTGGCCTTGATCACAAATTGTAACCAGAATTTTGATTCCACAATTTTGTATTTTTTCAACCAGAGTTTTTATAATAGTTGTCAATATGTAAGATTTTGTAGACGAAAAAGAAAATGCAAAGTATATTGGCTGTTGCCATTTTTTAAACAATCCGCGAATGAAAAAAACAAGAACATGATCTGCTATCTGTAAATTTTGTTCAAATCCAAAATTTTGAAATCCGAAAAATGTATCCGTATATTTCTCATAGTCTATGTGGGGCATTATGGACATTTCATCAAAAATTAATGCACATATTCTATCTTGGTTATTTAATTTTGAAGTAGATTCTTTAAGATTGTCGAAAATTATTTTGTCTACTGGAATTTTGTTCAAAATAGACATAATTTTTTGACGTGAAGGCAGTGCAAAAATCGTCTAATTTTTGTATAACACCTCCCAGACTGTTTATAAAACATTAATGCAAATAATTTATCTTCAGTGGTAAACCTGCGACCCTTTGGTTTGACATTTCGTCTTTTTAATTGTGATAAACAAAAATTTATAGCATCCTGACTTAAAATTTTGCTTTCTAATTTTACTTCAAATTTGGAGTATAATTTCAATCGTTGGCGATACGAAGCTACCTTAATTTTGTTTCTACAGGCTGTAGGCGAAATATTCCTAGAATTTAAATATAAATTTAGTATTCGAGAAGATTCTTGGTTTAAAGTTTCGTTTAGGGTTTCTCTGGAATTTCGAGATACTTCAGTACAAAATTTTTGAGAATCCAGTATAGAAATAGGGTTTACGGGATCATGGGTGTGTCTTTCGGAGTCGTTCATATTATCTGAAATTATTG